TCCTTTTATTGTTTTGTATTTCAGGATATTGTGCTGTAACTGTATCATGAAGTATCATGAACATGATGCCAACTTTAATTATCCTGCTGTGATGGATTTCACCACCATTCTTAGTTTTACAGTGTCCCACAAGAGGGTCTCGTACACAGTTCTTCAGGTGTGGTCATGTTATGTGACTGCTATAATGGTGCTTCAGAATTCTGTACCATCATCATCCTCTTACTATCTATGAAACTTACTATAGGATTCAATTGGAGTTTTGAGTAAATGTGCACAGTGAACAAAAGCCATTTTAGGGCGACTCTGGTTTCTTGTTCCACTATTTGCAATAAGAAATAAATTATCTATATTTTAATATGAAGCTGGACTAGAACCTTAGCCCAGGATTCATTCCACCTCACTTTAGGTACCTAATTCAAGTTAAGGTCTAAAGGCCTTATCACTGTCACCTTCAGAGATGATTTAACCCACACCAGAAACTATCAAATCAACAGGTGTGTTCCATGATTATTTAGAGAATTTAGTACTAGTCATTATGTCTTTTTATTTGTGTTGAACCTGGACCTTATTCAACGCTGTGATGAAAACCATCTAATCCGATCTAATCTAATCTAATTCCTAATCTGTTTTAGAATCATAGAATAGTTAGGGTTGGAAAGGACCTTAAGATCATCAAGTTCCAACCCCCCTGCCATGAGCAGGGACAATGCACACTAAACCATGCCACCCAAGGCTCTGTCCAGCATGGCCTTGAACACTGCCAGGGATGGAGCATTCACAACTTCCCTGGGCAACCTATTCCAGTGCCTCACCACCCTTACAGTAAAGAACTTCTTCCTTATATCCAATCTAAACTTCCCCTGTTTAAGTTTTAACCCATTACCCATTGTACTGTCACTACAGTCCCTAGTGGATAGTCCCTCCCCAGGATCCCTATAGGCCCCCTTCAGATACTGGAAGGCTGCTATGAGGTCTCCACACAGCCTTCTCTTCTCCAGGCTGACCAGCCCCAACTTCCTCAGCCTGTCTTTGTACAGGAGGTGCTCCAGTCCCCTGATCATCCCTGTGGCCCTCCTCTGTACTTCTTCCAACAGTTTATGTCCTTTTTATGTTGAGGACACCAGAACTGCACACAATACTCCAAGTGAGGTCTCACGAGAGCAGTGTAGAGGGGCAGGATCACCTCCTTCGGCCTGCTGGTCATGCTCCTTTTGATGCAGCCCAGGATACGGTTGGCTTTCCTGGCTGTGAGCGCACACTGCTGCCTCATGCTCATTTTCTCACCGACCAACACCCCCAAGTCCTTCTCCGCAGGGCTCCTCTGAATCTCTTCTCTGCCCATCCTGTAGCTGTGCCTGGGATTGGTCCAACCCAGGTGTATGGCCTTCCACTTGGCATGGTTAAACTTCGGAAGGTTGGCATCAGCCCACCTCACAAGCATGTCAAGGTCCCTCTGGATGGCATTCCTTCCCTCCAGCATATCAACCGAACCACACAGCTTGGTGTCATCGGCAAACTTGCTGAGGGCGCACTCAATCCCACTGTCCATGTCACCAACAAAGATGTTGAACAAGACCAGTCCCAACACCGATCCCTGAGGGACACCACTCATTGAGCGAGTGTGGGACACACATTGACCCATTGACTGCAACTCTTTGCATGCAGCCATTCAGCCAGTTCTTTTCTTTGCTTCCAGACTATTTCTTAACACATTACAACCTTTCACTTTACAGCTGTATAGTTCCAGTCAAAGCTTATTGTGTGAAATGTAACAGAGCTTTTAGAAGACCGGTAGTTTTTGTCATCTGGTTGTGTTTATTGAAATGTTCAAGAAACTATAGATCAGTAAAATGCTATTTTCATTTGTAAAATCATTAGTGGTTTGCCTATTTTCTGCTCCCTAAGTCACAGGACAGGGTGATGCTTATGTAACAGGATTATTGTCAACTCAGAAATTCTTTTCTGTATTTAAGGTTGTACATGTATCTTCTAGCACTGATATATTCTGGATGCTCCACTGTTGCTAAATCTTGATACCTCACTATTCAAAGAGAAGAATGTATTGTTAGAAAAAGAATATAGAGAGCAGAAACCTCCTGAATGTATTGAACAAGAAACTTGGATTAATAAACAATTAAAGTCATTTAGCTTCCAAACAATGTAATTATCTTCTTTAACTACTCCCTTAGCCTGCACAAATTCTGTTGTAGTCCTCTTGGTTTTGATACACCTAAGGGATATTTTATTGTTTATTTTTAAAACTTTTATTGTTTGTTCCTGGAAACCTACTTTTGCTCTTTGCAATTTCCTCTTACTTAATGTCTGCTGAAGTTTTAAGTTCCTGTTTATTGGTTTCCCTAGGATCACGTTTCCAAAATTTAAAGGATTTCTGCTTGGTTTAAATAGACTCTTGAACCTTCCCATTCATCCGGTTTAGCTTAATCCTGCCTTCCTGGTTCCCTTTCTTGCAGAGTACACAAGCCTTCAGAGATGGTTCCTTTTAAAAATACTGTCATTGCTCCCTTTGCTGTCATACAGTTTTACTTTTAGGTCCTTTATGACTAATCTTAAATTTACTAAGTGTGTGGATTCCACTTCACTTCTTAGGTTTTACTGCAAAAATCAAACTCAGAAATATGAGCAGTACATACCAAAAAGAAAAGGTAGGACAGAGAAATCAGTGAGGTGGGAGAATACTTACTGGGAGGGGAGCAGGGAAATACTTATACTATTTCCACTTTTGCTGTATGACTCAACTGGAGGTGGACAGTTGTCATCAGAATCCCAGTAACCTTGAATAAACCAGTATGTGTCAGGTTCTGTACTGATGGCCACCAGTATTTTCATCCCTGCCTACCGTCCACTGCTGAGGCTGCACGGTCATGGCAAAAGTTCTGACTCCAGGTAGGCTATCCACTGTGTCCTGTTAACAACAATCTTACTTTGGACTGGAATGTAGAAGAACTGACATACTAAAATCCTCATATAATGAATTGGGTACAAGTGTTGTTGCCACAGATACCCAGCCAAATCCAGGCTCTTGCAATTAGTGCTTTGTGAAATCTTGTAAATCCAGAGTAAACCATATCCATTCATCTGAAGAACCAGCAGATAGGATAACAAGGTCTGCTGTCTGTATTCTGCCTTTCCTCTGAAACAAAGAAGTACTTTGTGAGACAGCTAGCTTCATTTACAGGAACAACTTCTGAGCATTAATGTCATATTTGTCATATTAGAAACAGGAATCAATCTGAAATTAAATACCTATGGAATTCCTCATTGTCTTTGATACCTTTCATTTAAAGTTTTCTTAGATGATTTTTGAAGGTGCATTCTAAGGTATATATTCTTCTAAAACAAAGGTGTATAATGCATCGTTGTTTGGAGCTAAATTGAGAAAAAGATCAATGTCAGGGTATGTGCTTAACACTGTAGATGGACAGACTTTTGCCAGATGCAGCACAGGATTAGATTACCAGGTGGCTAGACACAAAACTGCGTGGAGGCTGCTTTGCCCAGTAGAGTAGGATTGGACCAGAAATTGGCTGTATTGTCAATATGATTTCACATCTTTAGCCCTTTTGTCTAGGAAAGGAAGAACTTGCACTAGCTGCATTCAGTATTTAATTGAAGAAGACAGCTCTGCAGGCATATAACTGAATTTCATCTTCTTTGGCTCAGAAGTAGATAGTACTTTCTAGGATTTTCATTTTTTATCACTTGAGAGCACTGGCTTTGTCTTTTAACATTTGATCTCTGGAGCCATCATTCATCTCTCTTGTGGCACTCTGTTTCCTTAGAGCACTGCTGGAATTCAGCTAACTCCATGTTTTGGTCACCACCAAAGGCCTATGTGACTGCCATTTCCCCCCCATTACACGCTGTGAGAATGCATTACTGCCGTCTCAAGAGCAATATCAGATCCAACACTGTCAGTAGCTACTTGTGCACAAAACTTTGTTGGTTCAGATTTAAAAAATTGTCAGAGAGTTTCCATTTCTCCCATTTTTCAGGAGAACATTTAGTATTTTAGAATACCATCAGTCATTCTAGGACCCACAAATTTAAATGTTTTAATGTAATTTAGCTGTTCAGGATCTTCCATTGGTTTTGCAGACTGGTGAGAAAGGAAAAGAATATTCTTTTTATGAATATTTGGGTATCCAGGCAAAGTGACCCAGCTTTCAGAAGTGCTGAATTCACACTGTTGTCTAACATACATGGGACCTGCCAGAACCCAACACCTCAAAAAATTAAGACTGCTTCTAGTGAGTTGTCCAAGTGTTAGACTCAATCATTTATGTCTTTGAGACAGTATCTTGCAGATTAACTCATAATAAATTGCACCAAGGGGTATTTAATACTTTACATTCCAGAAAGGTAAGGCATAGACATTTGGTGTCCAGTCCAGTCCTATCTGGGTAGGTACCATCAACATTATGCAAGACTGCAGTTTTCAATGATACTTGTATTTGCTATTAGTTTTCATTATGTGCTATGTTGAGTGTTTGAATGAATTGCATATTGACATATCAGTAATTCAATATCTCTTAATTAATAATGCCTCTTGATGTACGCTTTGTATTTAGAAGACCACTCTTGAAAACACTTCATGGGTGATTGTTAATGCTTACCTTTACCTTTCTAGAAGTCTGTACTGAAAGCTATCATCAACGTTCCTACTCTGGTCAGGAAAATAAGGGTCATCATGATGGGCTGATCCAGAAGTCTGTGAGATAGATGGATAGAGTTATATTCCAAAGGTAGTTTTCGTATTCCATTGATTAATATCAGGTAACTTAATTTATTCTAGATGCCTTTTTAATGATTTGGTTAGGTGAGATAAATTCTGCCCTTTCTGTCCGTGGGATCTTTATCAGTGGGACTGTCAAGGTGATGACTGCTCCAATTGCCTGATCCTTTTGCAGGGTTAGGTCCATACTGCTTTTTCCAAAAGATTTGCTGTGTACTTACCTTACTGCATGTTTCTTTTTCTGCAGCCAACATCTTATATATGGCAAGCCAAGAAATGATGAAGGTTGTGGAGAGAGACAGTACAACCATAAAGCAAAACTTAAAAAAGGTAACCAGTCCTCAGAACTTTCCAAGGAAGCCCACATGCATGAGTAAATGTTACATCCAGTTATATTTGTGCAAAACCAGAATTTCAGCAGGCTTGATTGTGCCTTTATAGAATCATAGAATCGTAGAATAGTTAGGATTGGAAAGGACCTTAAGATCATCTAGTTCCAAACCCCCTGCCATGAGGAGGGACAACGCACACTAAACCATGTCACCCAAGGCTCTGTCCAGCCTGGCCTTGAACACCGCCAGGGATGGAGCATTCACAGCTTCCCTGGGCAACCCATTCCAGTGCCTCACCACCCTTACAGTAAAGAACTTCTTCCTTATATCAATCTAAACTTCCCCTGTTTAAGTTTTAACCCATTACCCCTTGTCTTGTCACTGCAGTCCCTAGTGAATAGTCCCTCCCCAGCATCCTTATAGGTCCCCTTCAGATACTGGAAGGCTGCTATGAGGTCTCCACACAGCCTTCTCTTCTCCAGGCTGACCAGCCCCACCTTTCCCAGCCTGTCTTCATACGGGAGGTGCTCCAGTCCCCTGATCATCCTTGTGGCCCTCCAACAGTTTCATGTCCTTTTTATGTTGAGGACACCAGAACTGAATGTTAGTGTCTTTCTGTTGACTTCGGAGAAACCATTAAAAGGGTCACTAATCATTACAGCATCGTTGAGCCACACCTTTGTAGATGTAGCATTCACCACTATCAGATGTAGAATCCTATCTGATATGTTTTCATTGTTCAAGGAGAAACAGTGTGTTATGGCTGAGCCTGAGATGTGGTTCCCAGTGAGGACAGTAGTTACCTGGGTTCTGATCAGACAGGCGGCTGGCCAGCCAGGGTATGAGTGCAGGCTGATTGACAGGTCAAAGCAGAACAAGTACCATCTGTGCTGTGTGGCAGTTGGTATCATGGGATTCTACAGGCCTGATTTTTCCATGCCATCAAAACATAATAGAAAGGAGTCAGCAAAATTATTATGGCTCCACAGTTTTGGTGATTCAACTGTAGCGTAAGAGAAAGACACACGAAGCGCATTCCTCGGAGACTGGAGATACTGATATACAAGTAAATTAAGTCATTTGGGGGACCTTTTTCCTCCACTGAACTTTCTTGTTTGTACAGTTTTTAATATTTAAATAGATCCTAGTATAGTTTTAGTCTGGATCAATGGCATTGTCACAGTCAATTCCCAGGCATGGTTCAGAGGTTGGCACAAGCCAGGAACTGTTCCTAATTGGACTTTTGATGTGGTTATCCTGTTCTGGAGCTAAGAGAATTTGATATCGTGACCATGGTCAGACAATTCCAGATGGCTTATAAGCCACATTTAATGAACTACTGTTGAGGTAGACTCTGTGTAAGCAGATAATCATAAGATATAATTCTACTGTGTCCCCTTCCTTCCCTCCATTTTTTGGTATCATCCCTGTCTTTCTGCAGGATGAATGATTCCAGCACTTTGCACTGCTAGAGATTTTCCTAGAACAGAATTTTCTAGGACAAAGGTCCTAGATCTCTGTAAGATTACTTTCTGTCTTGTAGATAGATATGGTACAAAGTTCACTTCATAAATAAGTCTCTTTTTTTTTTTAATTGATTTATTTTTTACTTATCCCATTTGTCTTCTCTGCACTTTTAAAGGTATGTTCAGATGTTTCAGTTCTATTTTTACTTTTTAAGAAGTTGAAATAGCACACGTGAACAAGGAACGCCACACTGCACTAGGCATGCCTGGTATTTTATTTTTATTGCAGAGCATTCAGAGTTGTTCTGCACTTTGGGGGCAATCTCAGTGAAGAAACTGAAGGGTTGATCTTGCAGACGGTAGGTATTTTCAGGCTTAAACAAACTTTCCATGAGTTAATCCAAAGCTGAATGAATTCAAGGAAAATGATTTATTTCAGTGAGTCACCTCTCTGAGTGTCAGGGATCTGCAAGGTCTGCCTTTTCTCTGAGGGAAGGGGAGCTGTGAGCCAAGGGTGACCCCCACAGTGCCCTCACCAAGCAGGGTCTTGTCCCACAGCACCCGAGTGTGGCAAGGGTCCATCAACTGTCCTGGACAAGTTAAAGCAATGAACCAAGTTCAGCATCCCTCCAGAGAATTCAGTCAGGAACAAAAGGAGACAGGACCAGAGATGGGACTAGAGACAAGGCTAAGGCTACAGGGTGGGTCCAAAGTCCATCCAGGAGCATAGCAAAAGACATGATGGAAGGCGGGACACATCCAGGAAACAAGCTATGTACAGCGTAGGTCCAATTTCAATTTAGGGGACAGGACCAGGGCTGGAGACAGATACTCCTACAATACTCTTAGCTTGAGAAGCAGAGACTAAAGGCAAAGGACAGAGATGGAGACCCTGGACCCACAGGCAGGTGATGTGGGTTGGGGTCCCAGGCAAGCCTGATAAAGCTGTCAGTGCTCTGAAACTGAGGGTAAGGCTGCTGGTTACTCTGTTAGGGTGCAAAAGTGAAGAGCTTGCAGGAGCAGGACTTCAGCTGCTATTGGAAATTTTAATCACAAGCACAGGTGCTTGAAGTTAAGTATAAAACTTCACTGGATGAGGAACATAGTGGTGGCAATGAGCTACAGCTCCAGTGACTTCAGGTGGTCTTCTCAGATGCTTCACATTACAAAATTACTTGGGTTTTGTACTGAATGAAGGCTCATAGCCAACAGTAAGAGTTTGCAGGTGTCCTAGTCTGCTTCATCTGTGCTTCTGTTGACTCTGTCAATCTAAGCAGGGCCTTGGCAGGCAGGAGCTTTTTTAAACCTGTGTTTTATTGATTCTTCTATGTCCTCATACTTTTAAAGTGGCAAACATACTCAAGAAAACAAAAAACTGAAGCGAGCTTATAAGCAGTTGGCAAATTGAAGGAAAAGCAGGTCTAAAAATGGAGCTAAATGTGTCCCTTTTTTCATCTTCTAGTAATTTCTGGGAATGTAAGAATTAGGGAAAAATTTTGAGTTGGCGTTATGTTAAATTTCAAGTGTATTGACAATAAAAATGGGCTTAACTTATAAAGGTTGGAAGTTTAAAAAAACAGGAACTACAATCCAAGTTGCTATAGAACTGGCAAACTGTCACTACAAAAACAGTTTATACTGTTTAGTAGTCGGTGTGATCATATGCTAAAAGCCAATCTTAACACCTGACTTTGCCAGCTGCTGTGGAATAGAAAAGTTATTTCTGGATCTTATTTGCATTCTGTGATCTGAAGAAGAAAGAAGAAGAGACACTAAATTATTCCAATCTTTCCATGCCCAGGTTTAACTGTAATTATGACTAGTTAGGGAGCAGGAGAAATTTTATCTCCAGACCCCAGATTCTTAGTCTAACAATGCTAATTGCTGAAATATATGTTGAAAGAATTGGGGCTGGAATATTTTTTTGGATAATTAACTGAGATATTCCACTTACAACCTTATAAAGACAGAAGTTGTACACATTAAATAGCAGTGGAACTATATTAAAGAATTGTGTCTAAAGCAATTCATCTGGATCTAGCAGTACGTGAATGTAAGCTTACTGCAATGACACAGGGAGCTGTGATACACCACAAAATCCAAACAAGATAGGATTTGCTCAGCTTTGATGGTGAAACATTAGCTGATCGTGTCTAAGCCAGATGAGCTATGTTCTTTCACTGTAAAAACACCAACTCCCTTTCCTAACAGAAACTGGAGGCAAAGATACTACTGTGCTACAGGAAGTTTATTGTCATTCCTGCACAAAAGGAAGTGGGTGTAATTCCGTATTCTTAAAAGATGGATCACCATTGAGCATTACAGAGCTTTTACAAATAGAATAGAAATTTTTAAAGGAAAGGGAAAATGGTTATGTTGAGCATTCACTAGCATGCCCATTACAGACTGATATTTTCATATAGAGGCTCTGTACAGCACCTAACTTTTTAAGACTGCATCATGCCATGCTCATTGCTTTATTTTAAGACATAGCTTTACTGACTCTCTTTCTGTTAAGCAACCTTATAAACCTATTGTAATCAAGAACATATTGCATTAAAGGGTACTTACAGAGGAACTTCTGTTTTTAAAAAAGTCACCTCTTGGATTTTATACTTACTGAGATATATTTTGTTTATTAGTCCATGAGTAATACACAGTAGTCTTATTTCAAAGTACAGGATCTGCTCCAAAGCATATCTAAGTCAAGAGCTCCAACAGACTTCAGGAATTCTTGAATCAGTTTGGTAGTAAACTTATGTAGTGGTTCATAATTTCTAGAGGCCATAAATCATCTCCTCCAGAAACTGAAAATCTTGATTCTTTTGGTTAGCATTTTAAAGAAAAAAAGGTTTATAGGCTTCTTGAGTTTGCCAGTGGCCTCGTGTAGCAGGTACACTGTGTAAGGAAAAAGACATGAAACATCTGAAGTAGGGGTACAATGATGAAAAAACATCTGTTGTCTGAAAATAATAATTTTTCATAGAATCATAGAACAGTTAGGGTTGGAAAAGACCTTAAGATCACCTAGTTCCAATGTCCCTGCCATGAGCAGGGACAACGCACACTAAATCATGCCACCCAAGGCTCTCTCCAACCTGACCTTGAACACCGCAAGAGATGGAGCATTCACAACCTTCCAGGGCAACCCATTCCAGTGCCTCACCACCCTTACAGTAAAGAACTACTTCCTTATATCCAATCTAAACTTCCCCTGTTTAAGTTTTAACCCATTACCCCTTGTCCTGTCACTACAGTCCCCAGTGAAGAATCCCTCCCCATCATCCTTGTAGGCCACCTTCAGATACTGGAAGGCTGCTATGAGGTCTCCACACAGCCTTCACTTCTCCAGGCTGAACAGCCCCAACTTTCTCAGCCTGTCTTCATACGGGAGGAGCTCCAGTCCCCTAATTATCTTATTGGTACTCCTCTGGACTTGTTCATGTCCTTTTTATATTGAGGACACCTTAACTGCACACAATACTCCAAGTGAAGTCTCACGAAAGCACAGTAGAGCCTGCTGGTCACGCTC